ATAAATGCATGAACCAAGAATGGCATCGTCATGTTACTATGCAATGTCATTTGACAAAAAAAGGTTTTATGAATGGGTATATAGTTTGGCTTGCACACAGAGAGCAGCCAGTGCGAAAGTGACAATGTCATCAGTGGGGGAATCCTCTAGTGCAGCTCCCTTTGTGATGGAAGAACAAGGTAATGATCCAATTTGAGAGATAGTTATGGATGCAAATTTACATGGTATAGAATATAATATGAATGAACAAGCTAGTGAGGAGCCAATATTTGAGGAGGCAATGGGAGATGCAAAGAAATTTTTTAATCTTTTATAAGCTACTAACACACCATTTTATGATGGATGTGATGATGGTGACACAGTATTAAAATGGGTGTCTCATTTTATGAATGCAAAAACACTTTATAATATGAGTGTAGCTAATTGGAATGATATGTTAAAGTGTAGTAGGAGATGGATGAAGCCAGAGGATCGGGATAGAATTCCAAAAGACTTTTACAGTGCTAAAAAGATGATAAGGCGCTTCAATCTGGGTTATAAGAAGTATGATGTTTGTGTCAACAATTGTTTCTTGTATTCTGGTGAAGATGAAAACAAAAACTACATCGCATGTCCAATATGTGGTGAACCTCATTATAAACAGGGACATGTGCAACAAAATCAACATATACCAAGGAAGTTATTGTGGTATCTCCCGATTACACCTAGACTCAAAAGGTTGTACATGTGTAGCAAAACTATTGAACACATGATATGGCACTTGACTTGTGGTGGTGTATCTGAAAAGATTGTGCATCTTGCCGGTGTTGAGGCATGGCAACACTTTGATCGCACCTACCCCGACTTTGCATCAGATCCAAGGAATGTAAAGCTTGGATTGTGCACAAATGGGTTCACCCCATTTGAACATACATCAGCCTCGTATTCATGTTGGCCTGTATTTTTGATTGTCTACAACCTATCTCTGATAATATAAGGTCCTCAAAGTCCTGGAAAAAACATTGATGTTATGCTACGACCACTAATTGATGAATTAAAGGAACTTTGGTATAATGGGGTAAAGACATACGATAGTTTTAGGCATGAACATTTCATTATGAGAGTAGCACTTATGTGAACAATTACTAACTTTCCTGGATATGGTATGTTATCTGGACAAAGCACACACGGTAGATTGTCATGTCCGTATTGTTAAGAAAATTCTAAGGCATTCCATCTTCCAAATGGTCGAAAGATATCATTTTTTGATTGTTACCGATAGTTTTTACCTCCCGACCATCCATTCAAGAGAAATAGATATGATTTTTAAAATGGCCATGTAGAGAATCTTGCTCCACTAGAGAGATTGTCGAGTGATGACATGTATCGATAAATTCAACAATTGCCTGATATACAATTGGGAAGCCATCCAAAGGCAAGTGATCAAAGGATTTGGTCATTGGCATAACTGGGTTAAAAAGAGTATCTTTTAGGAGCTTCTTTATTAGAGTACAAACTTAATCTGTCATAACTTTGATGTAATGAACTGTGAGAAATTTTTTTTTATAATATCTGTTGTACCTATGATTTTGATGATTACAAAACACATTTGAGTGACTAATTGGTTTATTTAAGTGTGTAGTTAAATTGCTAAA